TATATATATATATATATATATATATATATATATATATATATATATATATATATATATATATATATATATATATATATATATATATATATATATATATATATATATATATATATATATATATATATATATATATATATATATATATATATATATATATATATATATATATATATATATATATATATATATATATATATATATATATATATATATATATATATATATATATATATATATATATATATATATATATATATATATATATATATATATATATATATATATATATATATATATATATATATATATATATTTGCTTGCAAAAATACACTTTATTCTATATATCTTTTCTTTTAAAACCATTTGTTAGAAAAAAAATGAAGAAAATCTCAATAAAGATGTTTATTCAGCATAGCAGTTTCAAAATACATGGCTGTACCTTGGGTTCACCGGAGTCAGAATGAACCCTGAACATTCTTAAACTCAAACCTTTTTTACTGTTTTTGATGTTGCCTTTAGATGTTATGAAGTTGCTCCTTTGCTGTTGACCCAGCTGTTCTCCCTATCTCTCCATGTTAATGTAGTTTCAACACCATTGAGGAGATGGTTCTCTGTGCACCACACCCATCCCCATTCTACAATTATTACCATTTGATCGAGATGTAGTCACCTCAAACGATGCAGAGACAAGACCCTATTGACTTCTCTTTTCTCTCATAAGTCAGCCCTTTTGGGAAATGAGCATCCATTCACCATTTAGAGTGGAAGTTGGGTCGAGGCAGACTCATTTCTTACACATTTGTCAAGTAACCAATTTTATGCACAATAGTCTGTCCAGGTCAAAGGTCTCAGATCAAGAAGTTTAATGGAATGTTATTGTATGGATGATAATTAAATTATGTTAGTAAACACATTATTAAACATTAATTATTTTGCACATATTATTGCTTTTTTCATTTCACAAACTAATTATCAGTCATCTCATCTGTAAGGTTTTAATGTTAGAAATTCCATTACAATCAAGCGTCATGTTTTCTGTGCTCCTTTATGGACTGAGTGGAATGTTCTTTCCTCTGGCATGGCCTGTTAATGGATGAAAAAGTTTGATTATATTTGATTTGAATAAACTGCTTTTCTTTTTGCCCAAACACTCCATGATTTTAGTAATCAACATCGAATCAGTTAACGCAACTGTTTGCCTAAAAAAATAATGTTTTGGGTTTAACTCTCGTTATAGTTTACATTTGGAATAAATGATGTTTTATTCGAGAACAATCAGAGTCAATAAAATACAGCAGAAAATTAATTTTTATCATCTTAGCAAACAGTGATTTATTGTCAAACAATTCTAACAGAAAATGTCATTTGATCGTTTAACAAAGGCACACTTGATTAAAGTTAGCCATTACACTATTTCAATAGCAAAGCTGCACAGTTTCTCTTCTATTCAGACCATCTCTGTCTTGTTTGTTTAATCAAGGATGAAACTTCCCAAGAATGTTGATCACTAGGATTTGGTATTCCTTGCTCTTAACTTATTAAATAATCAATTAAATTAAATTAACCTCTGCTCTTGCTTGTAAATAAATAAAACACCAGATGAAAAAGTCTAACTGTATACATTTGCTAAACAATATTGCTTATTTAATGGTGATAGCAATATCTTACTTGTCAGACTTTAATCTGAAAATGTTCTTACATAATAGTGTTACACTCTCTTTACAAACCGACAGTATAAATCACATACACAGACAAAACAAAGGTAAATTGTGACTTGTCTTCATTTTCCGATTGGAGTTATCATTGCTGTCTATAGCTGTGCTGGACGAACTGCATGCTATAGTTGAATTCTTAGGGCTAAGGTTACAGGTTAAGTGTGAGCAGCGGTGATGGCAATGTTTGTCTTGGCAAACACCACTAATAAATTTTCTGAACATTCTCTGTGTTTATCTTGGGTTTTCTACACATCCTCTGGTTCTTCTCTTGGTTTGTACTTTATTACATTGCGTCTGAGTTTCAGACTGTTTAGATTTCTTTCCGTCTCTCTAGCAAAATAGTTTTATTCTCTTGTGGTTTGTGGAATTCCACAAATTTCAGAATGCGTCTGCAGTTCCCAGACTCATGCAGGGAACGACCCCATATAAGTTCATGTCAAAGCTGATCACATTATGGCACTTCTCCAGACCGGTTTCCTGTTTGATTTTTGTGAAGTTAAAAAACTAAAACATTCCAAACACTGAGTTTGCAGCAGTGCACTTTCCCACCAAGAACAATAACTGTAGTGATAACATATATCATGTATGTATAGATTAATGTTTATCGTTTAGATTATTACGAGTTCACTCTGCATTTAGAATTTCTGCTGCTTTAAATTATTTTTTTTTAAACGCTTACTGCATTAAACACATTGGCATTTGGCAATTTTTAGATATTGAAATCAGAATTATGATTTTTTGTATACATATAAATAATTAAACTTAACTTTGAAGCATCTAAATGCAAATGTGGATTTTTTTTTGTTGTGTAAAATTGTAAAAATTACATATTTCATTTTTTTACCCATTTTTACCCAATAAATAGCAATAGCATTTTTGTGGTCTTGTGAGTTTGGGCAATGACACTAGAGTACACAAGATGTGTCACTTGTATAGTTTTTAATGGGGAAAAGTGTAACTGCAAAGTCCCTTTAAGGCAAGTCATTTCACTTGACGGCCATCTTTGAAACGCCTCTCGGGCAGTATGCTCAGGCGTTCTGTCTGAATGGGGAAACATCAAATTCTCCAAAACTCCAATAAAATCACAAATACAATTAAACAATATGTCCCATAAGCATCATTAACCCATATATACAGATGGATCGAAAACAGACAAAGGAGTAACAGCAGCAGTTTTTAAAGATCATATTTTGGGAGAAAGCTCAATTTACACAGCAGAAGCTTATGCATAAATATGGCTTTAGTTTAGAGCAAATGGAAAGGACACAGTACCGTAACTTTTTAATCTGCACAGATTCCAAAACTCGTCTTCAAGCACTTGAAGCTTTTTTTTTTATAGCTTTAAAGAAAATTACAACAGTAGAAAATAAAAAGTTGAGGCCATATGAGACAACATGGGCCTAATCCCAAATCTATTTTTGTACCCCTTCCCCTTGACCCTTACAACCGAGGGTGAAGGGGAAGGGCTACAAAATTTACCCCTAAGAATTGGGACAGCACTACACCACCTGCACATGTCATCATATGTCCTCGCGATCTCTTGCTTCATGTGAGATCAGACGATCGCGACTGCTGTAGTTATTCCAGTTGTGTTCTTTTTTGGTTATTATCTTCAATCCATGAAGGCATATATTATGTTGTGATATATTATGTTATCATAACGATCTAATGTGGCAATAAGATCGTAACTGTACTGTGCATTTACACAGTGGCCATATTCATCAATGTAAACACATCAAAAACAACATTAACATTATAGCAGACACCGTAACTAATTTCCAGCCACTAGACATTACTGACAGGGTATTCGAGTGTCAGAATGTTCTGGGACTGCTGTAACGGAATTATTAATAGGAATTATAGATCGCGAAATTTTTTTATTTGTATTTTTTATTTTAAAGCATGGGTAAAACATGAACACGGTTATAAATATATCAAAATGTGTTTGTTTGTCATAAAAATTTGTAATAATGACAAAAAATACTCATTTGTGGATCTCCTTACTTCCGGGTTCAGCAATACTGCCGTTGTGGCAGGTGTATTCTGGAAAATTTTCTTACCCCTTGGTTTCAATTGTGGTCCTGAAAAATCTTTGTTCGAAGGGCTATTCACCCCTTCCCTTTAGCTATACGCCTTCAAGCTAAAGAGAATTGGGACACCACTACCCCTTGTTGTGCACATGTAAAACGAGGGGTAAGGGGAAGGGCCTGAACCAGCCAATCAAGCTCTTTCTAGGTATACTAGAAATTTCCAGGCAGGTGTGTTGAAGTTAGTTGGATCTAAACTATGCAGGACACAGGCCCTTCAGAATCGAGTTTGGACATCCCTGCCTTAAAGGGACTTTTGCTTGGGTTCCTTGCCGCAGTGGCTTTTGGCATTGTTAGTTGGAAACTGATCATGAGTTTTCCTGAACATAACTTTTAGAAATGATATCAATATGATCCACATTGAGCTATCAGATGAATAGATGAAATTCACACTCATACTGATCAGAACCAACAGTAAACTGACATGATCTGAATATCCATTATAGATTCTCTTTATTTTCCTATTTTCCGTTGTGCAGTTGCTTTGACATTGTCAATACTGCAAAAAGTACTATACAAACAAAGGTGACTTGATGTAAATATGATTTATATGATGCCCTGTCCTTGTCCAAAATACTCTAAATATTTGGCATACTGACATACGAGTGGTGGATGTGTAGATCATATTGAATGAGGACCGTTCAGATTCTGTGGAAATCTGAAGAAGGACTGCATGGAATTTGAGTCTGCACTTCAGCAGAGATGATGAATGAGTGGAGTCTTGAAGTGTCTGACGCAATCTCTCACTCTCTGTCCTGCAGGAGAATCAGGTTTGGGGAAGTCTACGCTCATCAACTCCCTCTTCCTGACAGATTTGTATTCTTCAGAGTATCCAGGCCCGTCTCACAGAATCAAGAAAACCGTTCAGGTAAGATCTGCTCGGTCTACTGATGTCTTTTTTATCACTTCAGCAGAAGTCCATTATTAAGTGCTGCCATGGTGGCATTTTTTTTGTAGGCCGTCTTGTAATTTTGCACTGGCCTGACAAAAACAACAAGTAGGATATTTACAGTATTTTCTTTGGATTATTGGAGATTATAAGGTCTGTTGCCAACAAAAGTTTCATTCTTGTCACTTGAAGTAAAAAGCTTCATTTATATTGTTATGAATCCCATATTATAGCTATAAATGAACAACAGTATTACTCATCCTCAGCATTGCCACCATTATACTTACAGACAAGTTCAAAAAGTTTTCTAGTTTGTGATTGTAAGCACATTAAAGTTACAAAATGGGGTTAAAGTAAGCAGATGAGTTTACCTGTTTGAAATGTACTTTCATATTTCTGCTTATTTATTTAAAGCAACTTGCATTTGTACAATGAAAGGTACAGATTTGATCAGTGTTTATTTTCTATGGGAATTGAACACACAACATTTGCATTGCTAGCTCCATTTTCAGAAAATCTTACTTTAAGAACTTTAGTTTTATTTATGGAATTATGATTCATGATTTACCAAATTTCGACCACCAAGAGACTTAAAACATCTAGCAATATGAAAAAAGGGTTATGCTTTGCTGCAGTGTTCAGTGTGCAGGTTTAACTTTATCTCCGGCTGTAGTCACTGTGCAGTGTGAAGCAGCATTCACACTGGATGCGGAAAGCACTGTGCTATGAAACCCATTCATTTCAATGCTTTGTGCAAAGGCTGGTTTGTTGTGGGTTGGCTAAAGTGCAAGAGCAGCAAATGTTTCACTGGTATCAGTAGATTATTAACAAACTATGAACAACTGATCTATGAAGTGTGAGTTAATATATTAGTTGTGTTGGTCATTAGCCTATATATGTTATTGGGACGTTATTCGTTGCAACTATTCCACATTTACTTACAGTTAATAAATGTAGAACAGTTTCAACTTTAGAATACCATCCCAATAACATATATAAACTATTAACTGATACTTAGCAAGTCTTTAGTAAGTTCTTGTAGATCATTTGTTCATGATCTATTAGTAATTTATTAAGTATAGTTATAAATCATTAAAATACAGTTAATAAGTCATTTAAAACTTGTTAACTAACAGCTTGTACGTTATCTATTGGCTATCTATAAGACACGGTTATAAATACTTGACAAACTGTTAACTTTTATTTAAAAAGTAATTTATAACCCATTACTAACAGTTTATTAATTATCTTTTTTTTTAATTATCACTTTTTGTTTGATTTTGGATCTTTAATGTAGTTACATTTACAATGCACAATACAAGCAGCTTGGTAATGCTAGTTTTCCAGAAATGTAGAACAGTTTTGTATGGATGCTGAAATATGACAAAGCAAGCAAACATAGTTAAGAAAGCAAAAAGACAACAGAGACGTAACTCTGCTCTTAGTCTTTTTGTTTACCACGTTTTTCTTGAAATTTTCTAGCTGATATAACTTTACTAGAGGAGCAAAGTGGGGGTGCTTATTTATTCATTTATTGTTTACATTGTTAAAGTGTCTCATTTGTTTATGCAGGAGTCAAACATAGATATTTACTTTCTGGAGTTTTTAGCCACTTACAAAACAGTAGGGATGTTTTTATAAACCGTGTTAAACACAGGTTGTTTTTACATCCTGGCATATTGAATATCGCGTTACATATTTGCACTTTACTTTTTTCTTTATAATTTGCACAGCCCTTAAATGCCTATTTTAAACTGATCTGAATTAAAGACAATAGATCCAGAAGTGTTAAAATGCAGCTACTCTCTGGCTTTTGTCCTACAAGAATATGTCACCCCTGCAGATCTCTGTAAAGGACTTTGTTTCTCTCAGCTGGATCACATATGCCTCCATCTGCAATGTGTAGGTCGGATCTCCTGCCAAATCAGCAGTTTTCTGGTGTTGGCCTGAAATCAAGCTTTAACTAGAAGCTCATGCTTATGAACGTTTCCCATTTTTCTTAAAAACGCGGCTTGTGATGTGGCCGAAATAATAACAGCTGTCAATTGAGTGCGTATTAGAAGTAGATGGACAGGCAGTGTCAATCACTGTCAAACACAGGAGTGGCTCATCATTCCTCACTGGATTTTGTGGTATGCGGTTTGTCAGCTAATGTAAAGAATGCACACACTCATTTTGGTGAATGTTGGTGTTTTTCATTCAACAAGACGTGATTTAGGTCTTTGGGTTTGTTGTGTGGAATATAAACGTTGGGCAGTTTCTTGTCTTTGATTCTGTGGATTGTGGACACGATGCAGAAGTTGATTCAGTTCAACATGGCGCATTACATAACTGGTATCATATGACAGTCATGGACAAAGATGTGTTTGCACATGACGCATCTGCTGAAACACTCAAAGAAATCAGCCTGGTTTCTTTTTCAGTGTTCACACAGCAAAAAGTTTAAATGATGCGATTAGCTATGAGGATAAACTAGGGCTGCTTGGATAAAGGAAACAAAACAGATTAGTTCATTCATAGTTTTACTTATACATGTTATTATTTGATGTTTCTCATAAAAGGTGCAATTTAATAATAATAAAAAAAGGCAAAGTGTTTGGGTCACACTTTACAACAGTGGTTTATTTGTTAATGTTAGTTAATAATTTCATTATATTTCATAATAAAAGCTCAAAATTTACTAATGCCTTATTTAAATCCAATTTCATGCTTGTTAACATTAGTTAATGCATCGTGAGTTAATATGAACAACTGTGTTTTCATTAACTTACATAAACATGAACAAATGCTAAAATATGTTATTTATTGTTTGTTTATGTTAGTAAATGCACAAACTATTTTAACAATCTAGGTGTGAAGTCTAAAACGAATGTCACAAAAACATTAAGGAGGTGTCTGAATCTACTTTTGCTATTTTAAGTACAGAAAAATACGCTTTGCGCTGTGGCGCATGATCTAACAGGATTGTACTCATTCTCTTAATCAGTTATGGGTAGGCCCACCTGGAATCTGCACGTGCAGAATTCGCCATGAAAATTAGGGTTGTGTTGGTCTGAATATAGCAACAAAAACACGGCCCAAACACGTTTTGTGCCTTAAAGTATTAGTCATTGCAAGGTTTTATTTGTATTTGTAATTTATTTTGTAAGTCTGCACAGTGTTGCCTAATTTGAAATGTCATATAGGCTAAATAAGCTTTATGAATAATAATATCATCACTATTATTATATTTCATAGATAGATAGCTGGATAGATTGATATTTTGTGAATTTCATATTGATATTTGATCACGTTTTAATTAAACTGTGCATTATTAATTCATTAATGTTAAAACTACTGTTCAATTATTATTATTATTATTATTATTATTATTATTATTATTATTATTGTTTTATTTAAAGATTCATATTCATTTTCTTGTCGGCTTAGTCCCTTTATTAATCCGGGGTCGCCACAGCGGAATGAACCGCCAACTTATCTAGCAAGTTTTTACGCAGCGGATGCCCTTCCAGCCGCAACCCATCTCTGGGAAACATCCACACACACATTCACACACACTCATACACTACGGACAATTTAGCCTACCCAATTCACCTGTACCGCATGTCTTTGGACTGTGGGGGAAACCAGAGCACCCTGAGGAAACCCACGCAAATGCAGGGAGAACATGCAAACTCCACACAGAAATGCCAACTGAGCCGAGGCTCGAACCAGCGACCTTCTTGCTGTGTGGCGATAGCACTACCTACTGCGCCACTGCCTCGCCATAAAGATTCATATAAATAAGATGATTCCAAATGTGAATTTAAGTGTTTGCATGAATACATTACGTATAACGTCAACAAAAACAATCAAAAAGAGACAAATTTCCACTATGTTGAACGAATGACATGAAGTGTAGGAGATGCTTTTGCTGGGAATTCATGAATTCAGATTTAATGAATACCGTAAACATTCTGCAAATTATCATGAACATAATCAATGCTTTGTATCCAGCATTAATTCCTAATCAAAGTATACCATAGAACTTGATTGTATATATAAAATATATATTTTTTATTGTATATATAAAAGTGATTCTGAAGAAACGGGTCAGTGCTGATGTTCTATTGCTTACGGCTCATGTCAGATGAGGGATTAAGTTTGCATCTGGATTAATTTTAGAGAAGCATATTTCCCATTGACGAGATGCCCTTCACTTTAGAGCAAACATTCTGATTGAATAACAGTGCATGCTGTTAGACTTTTGATGTGAAGAGCCAGATGCTGCATTAGCAACTGTTGCTATAATTACTGTTTAACGTAAATCCCTCTGCAATACCCGAAAGGTCACAGTTTGCCCCAAAACGTTTGCAAGTGCATTAAGAGAGACAATTATCTTGCATTATTTGAAATTTCTTTCTAACAGCATGTAAAGTGGTAACTATAGCAACCATTTCATTTCTGTCATCACTGAATATGCAGATTGATGGAGAATAATGCAGCTTTTTAATGGCATTAGATAAATTGCTCAGTGAAAATTGTACAACATGCATATTGGGTATGTAATTTCTGTTAAGACATGTCTTTGTGTAAATGTTTACAGATAAAATATAGTTTAAAAATACTAAGTTTAATTCAAAGTGATCTGTTTTATTTAAAGAATAAAAATTGAAGAATATTGAATTTTGTCAAGTGGTCATGTTTATTAATTTAAGGCCTATTTGCAGTTTGAAAATTCGCTAATCTGCGAAGGTGACTATAAATGTAAAAAAGATTATACTTTAAACTGCTGAAAAAATAGGATGTTCAACAGTTGTTACTACTGATATCTATATATAAAAAGTATTTCTTCAGTGTATTAAGGTCTTAACACACTGAAGTCTGAAATTTTCGTATGTGTTTTTCGTATTCTTATGCAAAGAATTTGTCACGTAAACAAATCTTGCACACGCAGTCCGATGCGTATCAATTAATCCATTACGACAAAACGCACAACA